TTTTAGGATTTACACCAAGGAATCACTATATAACAATTTGGGCCATGGCATTAGGGGTGCTAAACGTATCCGTATCCGAGAAAATATCCGTAACCGTATCCGTTAGGATACGAATATGGTTACTCCAATCTATAACCGATAGGATATTGTTACAGATATGGTTTTGTAGTGAAATATCCGTATCCGTATCCGAAATATCCGAATACATATTAGTCATACTCTTATGATGGTTTCGATTCTTAGATTATGGATTTGTGGTTAATTTTGATGATCAAGATGTCTAATCTTAACTTTTCAATTATAATGAACATATTAACAAACTCTTTTGTATCACATAAACTATGTTTTTCTCAATACTATCTAGTTTTCTCATATCTGTTTTGTATCTGCATGCATATCCGCTTATATATCTGCATGTATATCCGTAACCATATCCGATATCAGCGGATATGGTTATAAGTTTTTCTTACCGATGTATATCCGTATCCGTATCCGTATCTGAGATGGGGTAAGCGGATATGGATATGATAAAGCATTATATCCGAGCCGTATCCGGACCAAATGCACCCTAAACACGGCATGCCAGAAGAATCTTCACTCTCTGCCAGCCATTCCAGCAACCAAAAAGCGGTAAACCGCCCTCTTTCCCTGATCGTTGAAAAATCCCAGAAAAATTCGACCGAGGTCAGAAGAAAATGGACGAAGATCGTCTGAAGCAAGAAAAGGTTCAGAGATTTGAAGAATTCGTCGATCGCCGGTTGAAGCCCGATCTCGTCAACGCCATTGCTCAACGGTTGTATTCCCCTTCAGTCTCTCTCTCTCTCTCTCTCTCTCTCTCTCTCTCTCTCAACGTATGTTATTCTTCTTCTTCTCGCAGGGATAAGGTCTTCGAGCAGCAGAAAGTGTTGTATCCTTCTTCACGATTCAAAAAGATCGAAATTTGTTATTTTCAACTGTTAGTTTGATTTGATTAAGTGCTTGTTTGTTTCCTTGAGTTATTATGTTTAGCTCGGATCTGAAGAGAAACATTGAGAATTTGCGGAAGAATGGTGTGACCTCTCTGAGAATGATGGTCAATCTCGGGTCCGAAGTATATATGCAAGCTGATGTGTAAGTTTTTCTAATGATAATTTCATTTTCATGCTTTATAGTTGTTAGATTGGTTGCAAACTTGCATGCTTTAGTTGCAATAATCTTGAAGTCTTCTTGGGTGACACTATTAGTGAAGTCTAGCCAAATTATGCCATATATGATGAACTAACATTGGTGGTCATCAATTTACGAGCGGGTGACCTTGATTACTTTGGATTGAATTTTTAATGTAATTTAGGAATTCGTTAATTTGAGAATCAATTTATAGATCACTTCATGCTAGTTGGTTATTGTAAAGGTGAATGAATCCTAGATGTTGGTTGGTTGTATAACTTTGGAATCTTAATTCTTGTTATTTAAATCATATAGTTTGTGCAATCCTTTGAAGAAATCCTCGTGTTTGAGGCTCTTAAGTCATAGAAAACTCAAATTTGCAAATTTGCACTTGCACCGGTAATTTGGAAGTTGACTAAGAGAAGAAACCGAATGATAGTGCTTTCCTCAAATGCTTACAGGTAGAATTTGATTGCCATTTTCAACGTGTTGGTTACAAAATAAGCCCTTGGAAGAATTGTACATTAGTACATTGTTCGAGTCTGTTACTTTGCAAACGAAAAGGTTTGAATTTTTGACAAGAGATGGTGATACTGATCGTGTAATGGTAGCACGTCAAGTAATCTTGTAGGATAAAGCAAATAGAATTTTAGATATTTTATTGAGAAAAATAAAGGACAGAAAAAGAGAAGCAGAAAAGAAACAGAGAATAGAAGATATAGATAGCAAAGAAAAATAGGATACAAATGTATGTGAAAACTTTAATGGAAAAATTTCCCTTCTTTATTTTTTTGGCTACAAAATATCAACATTTAATTGATAGGAACTTTGAACTTACTTATATTTAGGAAGAAATTAGGCATCTGCAATGTTCAAAAACATAGTTTTATTATGTGTGCAGTCCTAGACTGCTTAACAATTAATTGGATTATGCAGAATTATGCATTTTTGAATTTTTAATATGTATTTATTATTTATCATATGTTAAAGTATATAAAATTTATGAAAATTAGAAAATATGCATAGAAGCTTTGACTAATCTGTCTCATGGAGAGCTTCAAAGATCTTCAGAGCGCTTGCAGGAAGTGCGTTGGAGGTCGTACCATTGGGTCGAACAAGAGAGAGGAGTAGCGTGACTTTGGAAAACTTTAGAGTTAGGATTTCTTTTTCGTTTTTCTTTTACATTAGTAGTCGGATCGTGTTTGCTATAAACTGGTTTAAACCGGAAAGGATTTAAAAGAAAAGTGCCTACATAAAAAAAATTATGCAAGTGCATTGGAAAATGCGCGTGATTCTGCAGATGATTGCATAATGGAGCGTTTCCCTAATCAAAGCGGTTCCAAGCCACTTAGGTGTTGGCCTTCTTGTTTTGATGATGGTTAACAAACAATTTACCACTAATGTTGTGTGTCTAGTATTTGTGTTTTCTTATTTATTATAGACAAACAACGTTGTTGGAGGATGGATGAAATAGAGCTTCAACGATCATATCCAAAGGAGGTTGGCGGAATGTCGGTGAAGCAATATACAATTCAAGTTAAAGATCAAGTTCAAAGATCAAGTTCAAGCTTCATCCGCAACGTGTACCAAGTTGAGCCATAATGAAGATCAAGATCATTGCTTGGGTAACTTTAGTTTAGATTTTATATTATGTGTGTTAAGTACCTTAAGCTCAATATCATATACACACACGTATTTGGTTTCTATGTATATATATAGTTATATATATACATGCATGGTTTTGAGTTTTCATGTTTTGGACACACTTGCGAAATACATGAGTTTTCATAAATAGAAATTCAATTTGAGAAATTCTTTTTCTAACATGTTTGTTTTCATGTTTACAAATATTTCGCAAAATTTTATCAAGTTTGGAATTGATTTGTTATGTTTAATAGAATTTACAAATTCACGTTTTCGTTCGTGCACATGTTCGTGCATGTTTTACAAAACTGATAAGTTTTCACAAATGGGAAGTGATATTTGAAAAATTCTTTCTCTGACATGTTTATTTACATGTTTAGAAACTTTCCTCTAGTTTTTACTATTTTTGGAGTTGATTTCATTCTCACAAAATTTCATAATTTTTGGAGTTCATTTACTATTTTAAATTGATTTTACAAAACCTCTGCGCACTGCTACAGTAATCCGGTCGACCGGACCGGTCGACCGGAAATGTCTCTGGACGTTGGTTACTGTAGCTAACGGCTATAATTCCCAGATTTTGATATATCCATTTTTTTGTCTTTTTGCTTGGTTTTCTTGGGTTTTTGGGCTTGTTTCATGAGCCTATATATACTCCATGCCCTCATACTTCTAAGGGTACTCAAGAAATGTTTTAAACAAGTTTAAAGAGTTTTAAACAAGGGTTTAAGTGTGTTTTAGTGTTTGTTTGGTTTGAAGATTGTTTTCACAAGTGGAGGAGATCATCTTCTTGTTTGGGCTCCAATCTCCATCTCTCCATCTTGTCATCTATTGGAGAAGTTTTCTAAACTCTATCTAGCTTTACATTTGCTTAGTTATTTGATTATCATTCTTTAAAGCTAGTTTTTATATTGAGTTTAGATTTGATTATATTATCTCATTGTTACACACACCCACTTGAGCTTATTGTATTTGCATACATAGTATATTAGGGTTGTGAGAGATTGTAATATTGAGTTTGTGCTTAATTGAGTTCTCATCTATTGTAGAGAACAAATTTATATTTGTTACATTGTGAGTGGTGTAAGGTTTTCGGTGAGCTAGAAAACCGAGTGTGTTGTGAAGTTTTCGGTGAACCAGAAAACCGAGTGTGAGGAGTGACGTTGTTCGGTGAGCGTTGAAAACCCACACTGTGAGGTGTAAACGTTATTCGGGTGAACGTAGAAAACCCGGTTGTGATAGTGGAATTCTCCCCGGGAGTGGGGAGCGGAGACGTAGGACGGAAGGTCCGAACTCCGTGATCATATCGTGTGTTTGAGTTTGTCATTGGCGTTCTTTTACATTCATGCCTATTGTTTATATCGCCTTTGTCATTTGCTCTTAGTTCACATTATCCACTATCTTGTTTATCTTGTTTATGTTTATATCACCCTTAGTTTATATATCCTTGCATATAGATTTTATCATATAGGATATATCACTTTGTGTATATTGCTTATTCTTGCTTATAACTCTTGTATATCTATCTTGCAAGAATACAACTTGTTAATTAATTTTAATTGGCATAAAATCGGATTATATTAGCACAAGACCCTAATCACCCCCCCTCTAGGGTCTAACATTAGGCATAAGCGACCGCTTAATCGGCATTTTGGAACACTGGGCATGTGGAATAAATCTAGTATGTTACTTAGGAGAAATGATACGATCAAAGAGAATTGGGATGAATCCAATTAGAAACTTATGATAGTGGTAGAGAATGGTTCTAAGCAAGTTATATGGATGAAAATATTTCATACAGTTGAACCTAAAATTTTGAGATAAAGATTATGTTGTTATTGTTGGTAGCCGTTTTAAAATTTTACGGTCACTCTTTTGTTGGTTCATTCTTTCATTATATGATCTCCATCCCTGATAGGAGTGAACATTGTTATTGAGGCGCGCACGCCAAGAGTGCTCCAGGCGCCGGCGTTGCGGCCTGCAGCAAATGCGCCCCACACTAGAGGCGGAACGCTGCAGGCACGCAAGGGGCGCTGCAGGTACGCGAGGCACGTGCCTGGCGCGCGCCTCGTGTGCGCCTGGCACATGACTCACTGCGCCCCAGCCGATGGTGCGCAGTGAGTTGGGTTATTTGAACAAAACTGGGTTTTGGGTCCGGTACTAGCATATTTTATTAAATCCGTATGTTTTAGGGTTTCAAGCTATCTTCTCTCTTTCTCTCCTCTCTCACAATAGTTGCTCCTCAAACTCTCTCTCATTGTTCTCACTCCCCAACCCCAACTTGTCGATAGCCGCCACCGTCGCTGCCGACGGGAAATTAGGTTAGTTTTATTTCCAGTTTTTCTCCTTTTTTATTTTCTTCTTTTTTCTTTTTAAAAATAATTTATATGATTACATATTTACATATTTACATATTTACATCATGTAATAGACTATTTCTTTTTTCATATTAGACTCTTTTTGAGAACTTTTGTTATGCAAAGCCTTCACTTAATTGTTAATCACTTAATTGTTAATTACATACTAGACTCTTTCGCTCATGTTGGATATTATCTTGCATTGTGATTTGTGGAAACTTATGAACTTCTCTATGTTATGCATGCTAATTAAGACTCTTTCGTGATTTAGTAGGTGAAATTATATTTTTTAGTCTTTTTATGTTACAATTTATAAACATGTTGTTTATATGCTTCTTTGTTTTATGTTGGAAAATATTAGTTTGAGTTGTGCGCCTCAATTCACTGAGGCTCGCGCATCGTTGTGCGCCTTGCACATGGTGCGCGTAAGAGAGCTTTGCGCCCCGCATTGCGCCTTGCGCCTCGATAACGCTGAGACTAAAAAATCATGTGCAAATAAATAA